TAGATGCCTCAGGGACTAATGTTGAATATCTAAAGGTCAATTTTGTTACCTCTTTATTGGCTCTGAGGGGGAGCCAAAAATTCTACGTAGAAAGGAAAAAAACAAAAATTAGTAGCTAGTAAAAAGCAACTTTCTGGTCTAGGAAACAAAACAGGTTAACCAGGCACAAAAATAGCTAAAAAGCCTAAGAATGCCAAACTGAGCATCGCGATTGTCTCTTTTACCCCAAAGACCAACGAATTCCTTAACATAAGTTAGCATGGGATGTGAGAGAGGAGCAACATCTCATAGAATCCGTATTTTATTCCAGTGCTGGAAATACAACAAAATTAATATTCAGTTGCAAATCCGTCCTATTTTCATGCGTTTTTATGCGTTTTTGCATATGTGTAAATTGTAAAAACGCATATTGGGAAAAGGCTGTGTGTGTGCGTGTGTGCCTGTGTGTTCGCACTTTTTGTTAACCACTTTCAGCTCGAGTCCCAGAAAAGCTAGAAAGCTGAAACTCTGGGGATATGTGCCCATACCATGCGCGACCCTCCCGTTTTAATTTCATCCCCAGTAGGCGCCTAGGTGGCGCGTACGGACGCTTTAAAAAAATATGCAAATTTTTTGGCGGGAAAGCAATCTCGGGAACTAGATGAGCTAAGGGGCTGAAACTTTGTAGGGATATTCCCTGTGCATGTATTAGCTAAAGATTTCAAATTCAGCCTCCAGGTATGCGTGGTACTCACGTAAAGACGTATGAAAGTTTTAGGGGGAATTGCTAACTCGGGTACCAGGAAAGCTAGAAAGCTGAAATTTTGGAAGGATGTTCCCTATCCAAGTGCAACTAAAATATTTCAAATTCAGCCCCAAACTGTGCATGGTACTCACGTAAGGGCATATGAAAGTTTCTGCAGGAAAATTACTAACTCGGTAACCAAAAGAGCTAGAACACCGAAATTTCAGGCAGATGTTCCCTGTATACGTGCAATTTAAAAATGTCAAATTAAGCTTTCTGAGCACGTGGAGTACCCAAGTACGAGTATGTGAAGGTTTTACCGGGAAAATTGCTAGCTTGGTAACCAGAAAAGCCGGAAAGCTGAAAACAGTGAGACAGAAGGGCCCCAAACAAGCGATTTTATGCAGCACAAACTAGTGTGAAAATGTATGATCATACGCCCCGCCTGGTAGTTGGCGCCAGTGACTGTGATTTTAATATTGCTCATGCTGTCCTCTCTAGAACAGTGTCAAGTCAGTACGTGAATGCCAAACCGGAATGTGCACTTTACTTGGGGCACTAGTGCACTGGTGTGAGATAATGGTCTGGGAAGTAATGGATACCGTCTTTAACTAATGCGATGCATCGAAAAACGATGAGTTGCGGCAGCTCGCTTGTCTTCCGCAGTTCTTCCTCACAAATTGCCAGTGCAGTGCCATGATATCCTTCCTGAATGTGGTACACGATATTGCAGTAAGTGGACCAGTCCAGTTTTGACATGCTGATGTGCTGGCTTTCGTGAATTTACCTAAATAATGATATATAATAAAACGGGTAAGTAAACACATTGAGGTAAACGCCTACTCAAACGGCCTCCGAAAAGGTGGTCACCGAATAGGTGACGGACACCACTGAAGGCATGCAGTCCAGGACTAACGGCGCCCAGAATTTCGGGAGCATTTCAGTAACATACTCTAAACTGCTTACTTGCGCTGTCTTAGACCTATCTAGCCCCCAAAT